GTGCAGTCCAACTTTGGTGAGAACACCTTTTGGGAAAGCAAGGCTATGTGAAATTCATTGGAAGCGTCAGCTCTACTCATATTATTGGGGGAAAAGTCGACTACCGGACCTTCATCACGTTAAACGAAAAAGGGTGAACACAACTTATAAGACCACTATTCACTCCATAGTAAATACGAAAGTTAACAACATTGATAATTGAATTTTCTCACGAACATATTAGAGATCTCACAATTGTGGGAAAATTAAGCCATGAACATCTTCTGGTAGTTATGGCACCTATTCAATACGACTATGAATTTGAAGAATCCTGGTGTACTTTTAACACAAAATCTGTACTTTGGCCGTTCGGTACCTGTGGCTACCGTTTACTGTATGCCCTCCAATTCCTAATCCCCGTGCAAGTGGTGATGAGACCCAGACAAGGTCTTACAACCCTATTAGTAGGAGAAAATTAAGTTATCATACCTTCTATCCCCCTAAAAATCATAAGGTGCATCAAGTTTTTATGAAGCTTTTTTAGACTCTATAGAGAATGCTCATCAAATCTAAAGTTAATCATTAGTATTAACCCAAAACTGCAGAGAAATGAGAGTATACTCACCGACACAATCGGGTCCGGGCCGGTGAATGATTAAACTGTGCTTTTCCGGCTCGGGACCAGAAATAGTGGAAAACCTATGGTCACCACTAATAGGCCGATTGCATAACATCCAAGTGACTGTCGGTGTCGGATTTCCTATAATTGAGCAGTCCAAGCGGATCTCTTCGGTCACCTCGGAATCGAGGCTGGTGTCCCTGAAAGCGAAGAGAAGATGAGATGCTGAGATTTCGGACTTTATGCATCCACTTTTAAAATATGGTACCCACATTAAAAGTCGATTAAACTTTTTAAGCAAAATAGTTCCTAGTCAGAAGTAGGTTGACCTCGTTTTCGCAACTTCATCTTGTTGGAGGCACCTTATCCGAAATCCTCTGCCATACTAATAATCATAATTCCCAGCGTCAGACCATGGATTTAGTATATTCAAAGTTTACGTCTGAAGCTGGGAATTATGATAACTACCATGACAGAGGACTTCGGATAAGGTGCGCCTAACTAATTCACCCTGACAACAAGACAAATTTGCGAAGAAGCGGTCAATCCAGTTATATATATCGTAAGGAGTATGTGACCATACCAAAGACCACACCTTCTCGATCTTCATAGCTTGGTTTCTAGTCGGTTAACGAATAACTTTTTATAATGTTATCACGACCCTGAAAGCTTAATGTGTTTGTAAACAGATCAAATTTGCTTATTTTGACCTCTATTCTTGGCTGATTGGTTGTTCCACAGAGCCCCAAGCTTAGAATCGTTAAGCATTCTTTAAAGATATTTCATTATAATTTCTAAAGACAATTCAAACCCAAAGTAAATAAGCTTTAAGCACAATGTTTTTCAATAATGCATGAGAACTCAATAGCCTCTATCGCCTGTAGATAAAAATCTGTGAGGTGTCGTTGATACGTACATGTAGGTCATGATTATTTAGAATACTTCGTCCTGCGAAATTTTCATGTTATTCCAAACCATACTATTCAAGGAATTATAATATATAAAGTCATTAAATTGGTTCTCTTTTAGAGAAAAAGCTTATTAAAAAATTGTAAATGCAATTTTTTTATATAATTTAATATATTAGCAATTGTATGCATTTATATAGTATTTTCCAAACGATAAAACCAATCAGCGCTTGCCATACAAGTTTCTTTAGTCATCAGTTGATTACCGTTTTCTTTCATCGTTTTTAAGATACCAAAGCCTTTGGTTTGACTGTGTAATTCATTTATAAATGTATTCTTTTCACCACAATGCTACAAACCGCTAAATTTCTCTCATTCTAATACTTCCATCCATGGAGGCAACTTTCAAACAACATAAAGTTGATGAAGCTTTACCTTTTTCCTGTATTTCATTTGCCTGCTTTAAAATATCCCAACCGTTTATTCATGCACTCCAACATCTCGGCCAGTTTAATAATTTTTGCCACCATGTTTGTGACTAATTATTACATCGAAATTTTGTTCTAATGTAGTATCCACTTTAATATTTTCCTCTTTGTCCATATTCACTATAGGAATTTCGTACAACTTTCAATATTATCTAATTTAAATACAAAACTGACTTGAGTGACAGGCATATACATGTGCCTAAGGGGCAAAGGTGCATCATGTCCGCTGACCTCTAACCTTGAACACACCTAAATGAAATTTGGCTCCTAATACATGTGGCCTGGTGTACATTTATAATTCGCACTAAATCAAATCTTGCAATAATTTAACTCTCATTTAGCATGACCTGTCATATATGAAAATGTACCTCCAGAACAATGGTATAGGCGAGACTTGTGGGCAGAGACCTACCTGAAAATCCGCGTGAACTCAGGAGCCATGCCCGCCTCTAGTACAGGACTTTCCTGGCTGGGCCTGGTTCTCGACGGAGGCATGGATCTGGATATGAAACTTCGTTCGCTCAACTCCCCTCGGACAAGGAGGTTGGTTGATGTTTTCGCCTCTCCGACCGGGTTGGTAGCCACGGCCGTGAAGATGCCTTTGTCGTCCGCGAAAGCCTCGGGGATACGAAGACTCGATCCTCCATGAGGCTGTGTTGTGATCTATGCAAGGTTGTGAAATGGCATTAATTTTCATCATTAAGTAGCGCTTTTCTTGTCCAATGACGCAGAAACAAAGCAGTTATTGACGTGTTCCCAAAGGATCGGGTTCCACAAATATTTTAGCTTACGGTTATTCTGAGCAAGTCGAATGGACAGAGGCTACAGTAAATAAAAATACTTCATTTTGATAGAATTCTTCTTTCTCTGGTTAAACTCAGACAGGCCCTGTTTTCGCAAATTGTTCATTGTGCCAGGGGGACATCAGAAAATCCTGCCTCTGTCAACATCGGATTAATGACTTGGCGGCTTCTCAGACACTACTTCAGCAGAGAAGTCGGTATTTTCGGTGGGCATTCATCCTTGGCGCCGGGTTTCAGTTAGTCAAAGAGACAA